TACACTACTGGCTCTAAATTCCTCTAGTGTGACCTTCTGCTTAGGATGGGCCCGGTTTGCCAGAGGGTTTTTCTCAGTGATCTTGCTCCACCCTCAGCTTTAGGCTTTCTCTGTGCACCTGACCCAGAGTGTCTCTCCATACTCTTAGCCCTCCCCAGGGATAAACTGCTATTGCTTTACTTGCTGGAGGAGCTGAGGGGAGACAGAGAAGTTGCTCTGTTATCCTGGCCTAGTCTCAGTCTCAGGGGGTAGGGCTTTCTCCAAGTAGTAGGAAAACTAATGGTCTGAACCCAGGAAAGTTTTCTGCCCTTCCCTCAGGGTTTATGGATTTTCTTTTTCTTTTCACTTCTCCTACCCACACTGGAAAATGGGGTTTATTCCCTTCCCCCAGTGGCTTAAAGCTCTTTTCCACAGGGAAGAAGGGTCCAGGCTGGCCTGTACCACCTAGAGAGGCTTTCTCTTGTCTCCCTTGCTTCCCCTAATCTTTCTCATGAGCAGCTCTTGGAGACCCCTGGAGTGGGTGTTACCTACCCTGTGTCTGCAGCTCCCAAGGGTTCTATATTCTCATACCAGCCTACACTTAGACTTTAGCAATTCAATAAAAATTTAGCTAAATTCTTCTCTTTTTTTGACCATTTTAAATTTCTTTAATGTTGTATCTATTTTATTTATTTTTATTCTTGGCTGCATTGGGTCTTCGTTGCTGCCCACGGACTTTCTCTAGTTGCGGTGAGCGGGCGCTACTCTTCGTTGTGGTGCGCAGGCTTCTCATTGCGGTGGCTTCTCTTCTTGTGGAACATGGGCTCTAGGCGCGCGGGCTCCAGTAGTTGTGGCTCTCAGGCTCTAGAGCGCAGGCTCAGTAGTTGTGGCGCACAGGCTTAGCTGCTCCGCGGCATGTGGGATCTTCCTGGACCAGGGCTCGAACCAGTGTCCCCTGCATTGGCAGGCGGATTATTAACCACTGTGTCACCGGCGAAGCCTCAATTTAGCTAAATTCTTATTTTCCCCTGTATGACAGCCCTGCCTTCTTCCTGTGCTCTGCTACTGCTACGGGTGAGCCATGCCCACATGCCACTACTAATGTGTCGAAAGAAGTTATGATTTTTGTATATTATAGCTTACTCTTGTTTTACAGTGGGAGCAATATGCTTTCCCGCTTTCTACATCCTAAATGGAAGCCAGAAATCACCCAGTGAGTTTAAATACCACCTATATATCTACAATGCCTAAATTTACATTTCCAGTCTGGACCTCTCCCCTGGACTCCAGACCATGTATATCCAACTACCTATTGGACAAATCTACTTGTATGGTTTGGCAGACAAATTCTAAGGTGGCCCCTATGGTCCCCACCTTCTGGTGTTCATGCCTTTGTGTAATCCTCTCCCCTTGAGTGTGGGAGGGATCTGTGGTTTGCATCTAACCAACAGAATAAGGCAAAGATGATGGGACGTCATCGCTGTGATTATGTCACATTTTATGGCTAAGGAATGGGATATCATTCCCTTGATTATATTATATAAGACTCTGTCTTGTCAGCAGACTCAC